ATCTCGGATCGATTACCTTACATAATAGGAAAGTGAATGTGAAACAACAAAAACAATTTAAATTAAATTTATTATTTGTTTTATTAAAACAAAAAAAACTAATTCCATGTATTGTATTTTATATTGTGTCTTTTGAAAAACTTTTTACCCGCTCTCGACCCTTTCTTTATTGTGTCATGACGCATAATTTTAGTTTAAATTTCATATATCTAGCAATTTTTTTGACCTGCAATTTAATAACGCGGGTAAATCCAAAAAAAAAGTAAATATTTTTTTAGATATAAATATGCTTTGAAATTTTTGTAAACGCACATTTTTTTTGGCCTTTTTCAAATAATAGTAATTTTAACAATATATCTCATATAATTTGAAAATTATAATCCATATATATATTATCCATCCTTTTTTTCTCTTTTTTTTTTTCATCGTAACGTGCTTTTAAGGCTTTATAAGAATTTTTATAAAATATGAAGAGAGTAAACATGTTAACTGCGTGCAAATTTTGTAGAGATAAAAAAATAAAGTGTTCAGAAGGCCCACCATGCACAAATTGCAAGAAAAAGGGGATTAATTGCATTTATGTGCCTGGAAAGAAACGTGGTCGGAAAGTGAAACGCGAAAAAACTGAGTCCTCAGTAAATATTGATGAAAAGCAAGGTAAAAAGAGAAGCACCCTTTAAGTTTTTTAACGTTCGTGAAAATGTTACTAACATTTTTAATTTAATTTAGAAGAAGATCCACAAGGATCATAGAAATAGCCAAAATTAACTGGGATTTTTTTATGGAATAACCTTTTCTTATCAAAATTATGAATATTAATATTTTTGATATTAATCTTTTGTTGCTTTATTTTCTTCTTGTTGTAAAGAATATTTAGATTAAGGAATATCTTTGATTATATGTTATGTGTTTACCTCTGGTGTATTTTTTCTTTAATTTAAATAAATAATAAACTTTTTATTGTTCGCGTGTCATTAATTGGGTTTTCGTAAAAAAAAAATATTTGCAAATTTTTGGGAATAATGTAACTAACAATGAAATTGTGAAGCTTAACGAATGGGAGCAGAATAACCATCCTTCCGGAAAAAATCCTGATTATTTCTAAATTTATCGAACACTGGCTATATTTTTTCCTGATTGGGTTCGATACACCGAATTCTTAATAAAGAAATGATCTTTTTTATTTTATTTACTTATTTATATCTTATATTATAAATTTGAAACTAACTAAATAAATATAAAATGTGACAACATCTTAACTTATTTATGTAGGACATTGTGTAATTAATAAAGATTTCCAAAGCAAAATCATGTTCCTATATACTTCAAAAATATGATAAGTTCAGTTTTTGATAACATTTAATAATAAATTAAAATTTACTTATAGCAGAAAGTCTTCAATTAGACATACTGAAAATTCATTCGGACATTATCACGACATATCGAGTTAATTCAACATTCTGAAAATGTGATTATTCATATATTTATATATTTGTATATCAATGAATCAATGAACTTTTATACTAAAAAAAAAAAATAATAATAATTTTTATCTTTATAAAAAATTCATCAACAAATCATTTAAAGTGTATTAATTAATAAAACATTTTTATGACATATCTTACTAAACAAAATTTCAGACTTAAATGTCAGAAAATGGAATATTAAATGATAAGTGTTATCAGAAGCCATTTATTATTCGCACCCTTAGATCCTTTAAAAGCCTCCTTTTAGGGGATAAGCAGCCCAACCAAAGGACAATGTTTACCACTAGACACGGAAGTGGCCTTTGCGTTCAATTAATGATCATGAACAGGCACATAGCACTCTCAAAAACATAGAGATCCTTTTTATAAGACTTTATTATTCTCACAATGCGATGATAATCCTAATAAAAGATCTTTTGTTAATTGAAAAATACATTGGTCTAATTAATACATTAACCCACATTTCTATCCGCTTAAATAGCATGTATTATGATAATTAACCCTTTCGGACGTGTATCACACAATGGAGAATGGAGAATGGTAATGGAAAGAGGTTAAAAGAAGTATTGAACATATAGGTAGAATTAAAATATTAAATAAAAAAGCCCCTCATTAGAAATATGCAAAGGATAGGTTAAGCTTTGGATAATAGCTTATCTATCTATAGAAAGGTGTCTAACTATTCTTATATGTAAGGCAAACACTTTTTAAAGGATGGATTTTCGAATCTAGGGACCAAATGTACCTTAGTTCAATGCAATGATACAACCAAAATGCTTCTCCATTTAAAATCAGACCTCGGCTTATATAAATCCTTTACCATATCATCCATATCATCGAACAAGAGTGGTTTTGGAATCAAAAGGGATGGGCACAACTGAACAGAAAGTATTAGAGAGAAGAGTACTGAATTTAGATCCCTCGTTAAAGGAAATAAAGTAAAGATACTTTCAAAGTCATGTTTCACCATTTTTCAGATATTCGCTTAACAGGTATCTATGCTAAGAGAAAATTAATATGATGAATATATACTCCAGATAGCCAGCACTGTCTTTTTTATGGTATATTGACATGGCTTTAGCTTGAAGATTGATTTAAATGTATAATAAAATAATTATATGCTTTAACGTATATTTTTTTGTTTTATATTTACCCTTTCGTTGAAAGTTCCAATAATTTTAAATTTTCACGTTTATTTTGTTAAGTATTATGGATTTTGCGCGAATCCTTTAATAGAATTATCCTGGGTCTCCTGATTATTCAATAACTCCATATCAATGCTTGCAAGAGATTATAACGTACTCATACATCCTTATATTGAGAAACCTAAATGGAAACTTTTTGGATGAAAATCTTTGAGCTGTAGGCGGGTAGTTAATTGGGTGTAATGTTCTAGTTTTAAAGATAAAATTTAACTTTTACATTAAGTTGGATTATGATACCTCATTATCAAAATTCTTTATCATTTAAAAATTTATATGATGTCAGAAACCAGCCTAACATTTTGTAGGATCTATTGCATGTGATATCACATTGAAATTGAATTTTAACATATCCCGGCCATCAAACAGAATCACTTAAAAGAATTCGACTAAATCACTTTAATAATTTGAATTCTTAAATACATTTTTCCAGAAAAAAAACATGTCCCGATATGTATATTCTATCATAACATTGATCATATCATCTTTTTGAGTCAGAACTACTTTAAGCATCTAAGCAAATATCCAAATTTGATATAATAAAATGGTCAATATCAAAAGACATGAAAATTAATTTTAAAATATTTCATTACTTGATGATTTGGAAATAAATTTACCTTTGAGGTGGAATATTCATAACCAGATATATTAATACAGCGGTAACTCAAGTTATAAATTACACTCAGAAAATATTCCCACTTCACATTCAATAGACTCCTCAATATGGAAGATTCCATCTCGCCCAATATAATAGTATGCCTCAAAAAACAATGGGATCATAATAATAAATATTTGATTTCAGTTTTATTAAATTAGAAAAAGGTAAATACAAAAAATTCAACTTTCGGTGCCCAACTGCATAAAAAATCGTTCCAATCTTTTGGAAAGAATATAAACGATGACTTACTCCTCACTTAGTAAATGACCCTAATATTTTTTGTTTTCTTTTACCTATTGGTAGAATAAAAAAGAATATTTAAACATGATATATAAATCAAACAATCTAATACTTGAAACTCCATAGTAGAATGCAAACTGAGATATAACTAAAAACATGAATTAATTTTATAAAATATAATAAAATTAACCCTTGAAAACGTAAACCTGCTAAAATAAAATGCTTAAATATATATAGATATGTTCCTAGCTTCTTGATTTTAATGGACGCGTCATTTCCAAAAAATATATAAATATATATTGACACATTCACATTCCTTTAAGGAATTCAGCAATAACATTTGAATGATCGAGTGGTATTGAAGTCCGGCTTAACACCATACCTATTAGTTAAATTATATATATATTTTATATTCATCACATTGGAACTTGGTTAATGAATCATGATAAGCAAACAACAAATGACCAACATATCTAAAGTTCATGCTATACCAATTAAAAATGATGAAGTATATATCTTTGATTCCAGATATGCTATTTAAGGGTCAAGTTAGCATCAGGATCTAGATTAGTTTCTGAATTATTCTTACAAAGGATCTCAGGTTATCTGTAAAATAAATAAAGATTTATTTAAATATTTTCTCAATTATTAAAAAATACAAAACAATAATACTTGAATAAGAATTTATCATTACAAAAACTTTGCTATCTAAACTTTGATTTTTGATGAAAATTAATACCGGGCTCTTTTGAACTTTGATATAATTAAACCCATTTTATCAAGCAGAATCACTAAAGCTAGCATTACACTCCGGCCACTTTTGTAACCAGGCTGTTTTGCTTATTCTCTATACAGGATTTAAACAACACATTTTCAAAATTACATGTCGTACTGATGATCATTTTAGCCAACCTGGGTAATATATTTTTGAGTGATTTTTTGTTTAATTCCTAATAAGTTATAAGTAATAAAAAAAAGTTTGGATTACTTTTCCATCTTTTCCATCTTTAAAACAAATATTCTTAAGAACTAATGAATATTATGTGTAGTAATAATTCGATTTGATTACAAATGTTATACATTTAAACAAAAAAATCAAATCAAATAATTGCCATCTATAATATATGAAAGGATGAATTCCATTTTTGCTAATTATTAATGTTAAGGTTGCCTACTATGTAGTAAATTTATATAAATCACATGACTCATACTAAGAAATTTAATATTATCTTGAAAAAAATCTTTTACAAATTAAATTTTATTTAAATATTCATAATTAAATTTACTTTTTTGAAATTTAAATATTATTTAAATAATAAAATTTAATAACTAAAAGTAATTATAAAAAAAATTTATATATACTATTTAGTATAATGCTTATAAAAATTTGTAAGTAAAATAATATTATAATAAATTATTGCATTATAATTATGATAAATAAATTATATTAATATTATAATATTACTATAAAATGTTTTAACTTAATTACTTTTAGCTATATTAATCATAATATAATATAATAAATTATTTATAAAAAAAAAACTCTTATTATTACAATTTTTATAATTTATTATAAAATTTTGACTTTTATTAATAATAAAGTGATTTAATTAGTATATAAAACATAAATTTTTAATAAATTTTTTGAAGCTTAATTTTTAAAATTAAATTATTTGAAAATTTTTTAAAAACAAAAAAAAATTACTAATAAAGTTCAATTAAACTAAATTTTTTATATAATAATAATATTACTAAAATTAATATTTATAATTTTATAAAGAAATTCATACTTTTTTTTAAACTTGCAGGCAAATTTGCCTGCTAAAATAGTCAAAGGAATAATGATAAATTAATAATTTGATTATATATATTAAATATGTAAATTAACTATTTTTCATTCTTTATTATAGATATGTTCAAGAATTAAATTTTAAAAATTAATATTTAATAGATTAAAGTAATTTTTAAATTAATTATTTTTAAAAATATTTAAAAATATTTATAATTATATTTATATAAACAAATTTTTTATATAATCTTATGTAATTTTACATAATTTCATGCTATAACTTATACAAATAAATATAAGCTTATAATAAATTAGGATTTGTATATTACGTAATATAAATGAAATGTTTATTGGTATACAAAGTTGATTAAGGTAATACATGATGATATTGATATGCTTATAGAGATTGCATTTGACACTCCAATAAATATATTAAACTTTATACTGTACATCTTTTGCCTTCTATAACATTATTAAGGAAAAATTGATTTACATTTGGTTAGGGTTAGAGTTAAATATATAGGATTAGAGAAAAACATTTTGTAATCAATAATGGATTTATTAGCTGAACAATGCAAATTAAATAAATATCACGTGGACCATTTATTTTAAATCACGAAAAAGAAAAAAGTACAAAATAAATATTTAATTGATATCGCGCTCTTTTATTAAAATTTCAAATTGCTACTTAAGAGACACTGCATCATCTTTAAATCCCCTCTTCCCTTGAATCTGATTGCGCCTAATTTATTATTCCAACAAGAAATATATATGGGACCCAGCTCGTCTCAATTTATTGTTCCACAATAACTATCAAATTTGAAATATTCAAAGATTGATTTATATCGTATTTACATTAAATTGATTTGATCATTTCACCATATTCTGTAAATCCAAGAAAATATGAAAAATTTAATCCTAGAAATAAATAAACAGATGTATTCAATAATTGAAATCAAAGAATAATTCGAAAAAAGATAGCTTTGAAATTTCAAAATCGAACAAGGAGTAAACATGGGAGAGTACAAAGCAAACCCCTCATATTTAGGCTCTAATTTATTTTAATATCGTTCTTCAGATAGAATTAAAACAAAGTAACCTTTCTCATAACTTTCATATAAATTTAAAAAAATTTAAAATATAGAATTTGGTGATAAAGTAAGTATAAGTATACACCTTTCTCTCCGCCTTGGTTAAGTTAAAAATTATTCAAGATATATAAAATTAGGAGGAGGTATACTTTTAAATAATATCTTTTTGAATTATCTATAATTAAACAAACTAACTTTATATCAAATCAGTAAAAATATACTCACGTTATCTTCAGCTTCATTGTAAATTTGAATGTTCAAAGAAAACTCATGTCGAATCAATAAGAATTTGAGAACGAATATGACCCCACATAATTAGGCTTTTTAATTTATTCAAGTAATTTTTTCGTATAAGTTGAAAACCTTTTTAAAATAAATATAATAAAAAGTATAATAAGTATACCCGCTTCTCTCCACCTTGTATAAATTAAAAATTATTCAAACATACATTATCTTCGGTTTCTCGAGTAATTTTGGAACACCATGTTGATTCATTAGAGAATTTTACGCATTCATTCATATCACAGTTTGGCAAGCAATAAAAAAATTTTCCTATTAATTTCCCAAAGAATATAAAACAATAGTAATGGTGGCGGTGTTTAAAAAAAATAGCTTTTTTTTTTCTTTATGGCAAATATTACACTTTGTAGTACAGATGAAGGTTTTACTAAATTTAGATGATGGTCTTTATTGAGTATTTTTAAAACATTTCCAGATTTTACAGCTATTTATTTATTTAAAAAAATGGGAAATCTCGTAGTCAAAAGTTTGTGTTTCAATCACACAACCTTTAACATGCAAACCTTATTATTTATCATTTATAAAATGTTTTACCAAATTTGCGGAACAAGTTCAATATAATATTTTCAATGACTACAATAAAAACATGAAAGAAATCCAGTATTGTTCGGATAATCTTTTATGCGCTTTTCATTACGATTTGATTAAACTTAATTGGGAATAAATTCAACTTTAGTTTTTTGATCCAATCCAATAATAATAAAGTTCAATTAATGTACTGTAACACATGTGAGGATTCTAATTTTTTTTTTCAATGTGGACTAGCGTAAGCGGACAAATATTGGTTCGCGTTCCAAACGTCATGTTTACTGTAACCTTTGCATTTGTCAGACTAGTCAATAAATATTGCTCGCTTATCCGAATCTAAAATTTAATTCAATTCAAATGAGTAATGAGATAACAAAAAAAAAAATTGTTGGGAGGTATATCATTTTGATGTAATGTAACCAACCAAGTATAAATATTATTTTGAATTTGCATAAGGAAAACTTTAACTTTAAATCAAAATTAAAAGAGTCCATAATTACAAATTAAAATATTAATCGATATCTGCTTATTTATTTATTTATTATTTATTTATTTATTTTTATAACAAGAGCAAAGTTTGGGATATATCATTTAGACAGAGTAATCACGTGATTTCATATCTATCGTGAACACGCCCTTATTCGTCGCATCTCAAGTAAAAAAAAAATGGACATTAAAAAAAGTTGAAATTTCAAAAACGCGGTGTAATATGACAATTTTTATGTCAATCTTTTACGCCATTCGACTTTTACCCCCAAGAAAAAAATTCTCGTTTATTTATTTTTTTATTATTTCCAGGATTAAAAATATTAAGCCCCTTCCTCCCACCTCCTTCCCCTTTTACAAGTTCATCTATATCAAGGGTTCAATCAAACTTATATCGATTTTCATTTACTCCTCAATGAGAAAAAACGATGATATAATTTTTTTTTCCTTGACCAAAATATTTTTTTTTTTTTATTGTTATAATACAAATACGAATTCATCCGGGGGGTCCCTAAACACATCTCTCCTTCCCTTATCCAGTCATCTTTTCTTATCGGTTTTTGTGTTTTTGCCAGTAATAATTGACATTTAAAAATCAACAAAATAGATCAAAAGCTTTTGTCCAAAAAAAGCAACTTAGATATTAAATCATGTACGTCAAAGCATTCGATAATCAAAAAAGTAATTTTCTTCATGATCTATCTTATCGAATTGTCTCGTCGAATGAGATAACGACGGCCGAAACCCGAATGAACGTTATATGAAACATGACTATGAATTTGATAAAGGCGTGCTCATAAACTATGAATATTTATCGTAAACGAATCCGACTAATTCACCCTCCAATGGCTGAGAAGAAGCAAATGGTCTTCATGCAGTGTCTCAATGTTTTACCAAAAATAGTCTTAATCATGTCATATCTTCTTTTAATACGCATTTGCATTGTCCAAGGAAATTTTAATGTTTTATGTGTAGTATATACACAATAAAAATCCTTGGTAACACGATTCGAATCATGGTAACGACTAAGGCAAACTAAGGCACAGTGACACCACATAAAAAAATTTAATTATTTACCTTACTTCCCCCCCCCCCCCCCAGTTTTAAGGTTCTACTGCATTCATAAGTCTATCATGTGAATGAATCGATTTTACGCGACGCAGTAAGAAAACAAATGGCCATTACCGAACATATTAATCACATTCTAAAAAGAGGTAAACGTTGAAATTCTGTTGTAGCTAGGCTGGCGTAAAGATAAGTGATCGTTTTGATTCTTATTTCATTTATCTAAAATTTATGTGGAAACAGGAACCAGAATATTAAAAAAAAATCATCTTTTAAAAGAATTCCCTCAAAAATATAAATCTAAATATGAAAAATAAGGGACTTGCCAAAAATAGACAAGATTAAACCTTTTTCTCAGGGCACCATTCCAATCGCATAAATAAATTAAAAACATAATATATATCTGATATTCCATCCTAATAAATTGTCTGCTATCACTCGACTGGGATTTTCCAAAATTAGATTTTGGGAAGTGGCGTAGTTGTTATAATGATATAACGAATTGTTTCAGATAAAAGGCCATCAATACTTTTTGGGTTAAATTACAAATGACGCCACATGTGACACATTGACATATATGTATGTTTCAAAATATTATTATATATTAAAATATATTATTATCATTATTATTGTAACAAGTTAATTTATAATACTCCTTACAATGGTCTCCTAAATTGGAGCAATTGAAAAGATTTTTTTGATTGTGATAAATTTAGTTTAGTAGAATGACCATAAAGGTATTATAAAAAGGAGAGAGTTTTTTTACGGGTTCTGTTTTCCTTTAAATTATTTTCTTTCATGTTCAAACAATATATATTATTTTCTTTCAAAGAAAAAATTTCCCTTTCTTTTTCTTTTTTTTTCCCCCTTTTTTTTTCTTTTCTTCATTTATACGCTTTGCTCATTGAGATTTAATCTCTTTTATTACTTATTATTATTTTATTTTATTTTATTTGTTACTATTCTTTATTCAAACAATTTATTAAAAAAAATATAGTTATTCAATCAATCATGGCTCCGTTCTTACCTACAGATTGTTTATCTCAAATATTTCGAAATCTTGAAACAGATCAAGAATCGTTATATTCATGCATATTAGTGAACCGATTATGGTGCGCGACCTCGATTGAATTTCTATGGAGTAGGCCATTTCGTTTCCTATACACATGTCCAAATCCTAGTGCTTGTAAAAATGATTCGAGAATTGAAAGATCTTCAAAGCTAATCCAAGTCTATCTAAGTTGTCTCAACGAAAAGGAAAAGTTTCAATTAAAGGAAAATAAAGTTTATTTACCTTTATCCGTACAACAAAGCCCTTTATTCGATTATGCTGGATTCATAAGATATTTGGACCTTGATGAATTTTATACCGCCATAAAGGATTGGATCGAATTCGCTAACGTCGTCAGTAAAGAGGAGGAGAATCGAGAAGCGGAGTTGCGAAAAAAATCAAAAAAATCAAATAAGAAATTAAATTTATCAACCGTGGTTAAATTCTTTAGCAAATCCATGGGACATCATAATAAACGAAAGTCCGAAAGTGATAAGGAGAGTGTAAATAGCGTTAGCACCGGTCATAGTAGCGTAAGAAGTGTAGGAGGAAATACCCCCCCACCCAGTCCAATCATCCCTCATCCACGTGAAAGGTTAATCACGGAATCATTATGTGGTTTATTTATGAGGAGAAGTGTGACTTTGAAACAATTATCTATCGATAAAACTCATTCAACAAGATCAAAGTCAGAGCCTAGATGTATTAGCTTATCACCATGGATGGATAAATATCGTATTCAACGTTTCATACCCGATCAATACCTTTCTTTGCCAACGTACCCAGGTGCCAATAATTGTTTATCACATTTAAACGAATTCATCTTTACCACGCGACAATCGAAGACAAAGTTATTCGACTCACTTTGTAAAATTTCTCACAATATGCACACAATCGTGGTTACGATGGATCATCATTATAATGGATGGTGTGGAACTCGTTCGCGACGAGATGTTGTTGAACTTGAGGATGAAGCGAAGAGTTTGGCAAATTTGATCAAGGCGCAGCAATCTTTACAAACTTTCGAATTACATCAATGTGAATTTGGATCAAAGGTCATCATTCAATCATTACAAACTCAATCTAAATCTTTAAAATCGTTATGTTTTGATGAGGTTAGTTTTTGGGGATGGGACCCATTAACTCCATTAGAAGAATGCACTCAATTACAAAATCTAGTATTTAGAGGTTGTCATGGACTTACTTCTGAATTATTGGAACCTTTGATAAGTACGAAATTTGACAAACTTTTATCACTACTTATGGATGCCTCATCAGCTCCCGCGCACATCCTTGACGCGATTATTAAAAATTCAGGTCATCGTATTCAAACGTTGAACTTGGGAATGTTTAAACCAAATCCAACCGTGCACCTTATTGAAACGGTGGCAACGTATTGTCCAAATTTAACAACCTTTTGTACTTACGTCGATAACGATGAGACCAATCATTTAGTCGCATTATTTACACTTTGTACAAAACTTTCTTCTGTTACGTTAACCGGACAGCGTAATTCAGAAACCAATGTTGATAAGATGTTTCTTCAACTCGCTCGACAAGATTTATCAAATCTGAAGGAACTTAATATATTAGGGCCGTGGTCGTTTTCACCCGAAGCACTAGATAAATTCTTGACCTTCTCCAAAGCTCCCATACGTACTTTACGTATTGATAATTGTCGATGCTTCACCGATCATCATTTAGATGTCATCATTCGTTGCTTAAAAAACACCTTAGAAGCACTACGATTGAACATAAGAAATCGTCTAAACGAAGATTCAATTATTCGTGCAAAAGAACTTGTTGATCTGGAAATTGAAAAATTGGAATATGTACATAGGGTAAGCAATGATGATAATAATAATCATGGCGGTATTGGTGGTAGTTTTAAGCCCAAATTTTGCAAAATGTTTTTGACGGAAAGAAGATTGAAAAGATGAATAAGACCAAGTAATGGTTTGGGTTTTTTCAATTAACAACAAAGAATTTATAAACAATTTTAATATTTTTATATTTACGTAATTTTGTTCATATTTGAACGATCTAATTTTGACATATAATTAATTTTCTTTTTTTATTTTTAGTCTATAATTTTTATCTGATAATTCTTAATTTTATTGATACTTTCATTAACCTCTTAATTAATTGCGCATCCTTAATATTTAGTTTACCCCATCAATTATAGAAGAAAAAGTCTTGATATCTTGATAATATTCACACACATTTTTTTATGTATAGTAGCTTTATACCTTTGTTTAATTTCATTTGATGTTTATCGAGTTATAGTATAATAGTAACTTTTCGAGTGAAATCTTATTTTATTTTTTTTTTTTTTAAAGTAGGAAAATTGCGTTGAAGTTATTTTTTTTTTTTTATTGATGTTATATTTTTTAGGTTTTTGGACGCGTCATGTAATATGTATATGTAAAAATAACTTTGTATATTAATAATTATAATTAAATATATTTTTTTGATTATTGTAAATTTATACTGATGTTGGTTGAAGATTTTAATAATACACTTCATTTATTTATTTTTTTTTTCTTTCAAATGACGTTCAAATACACGACAGAGGTTTTTAGAATGACCCATTTAAATACTCATTGAAGAACTTTGTTTTAAAAAAGAAAGCATTAAGCAAAAAAATTTAAAACTTTCTCCTATCGTATTTACCCTACAATGGAAAGGAAGTCATGGTATGGTAAAAAGACGGCTACAAAAAAAATTAAGTTTAATTGGGAAACATTGATAAATCAAACAATACCATTCATTATCTATCTAATAAACTATTGTGTTTCAAAACAATATATAAAGAATAAAATAAGATGGTTGGTTTATTATTTTTACGAAAATTTATACTGTGCAAGATTAAAACTATTGAGGCGCATATTCTATATACAAATAGGAAAGGGTTACAGTTTCCCCCGAGCATGCAAATTTATTATTACATTGAAAGCCTTAAATGTTTAAATGTTTGTCGAGTTTAGGTTAAAATAATAAAAAAAAAACCCCCCATTCTACGCTCAAATCGACAATTAAGGATCGTAAGTATAAATATTAAGGTAAATGACACCATTTCTGCCATCATTTACAATTAAACCTTCATCTTTCTCAAAATTTCATCAACCATTTCTCGAATCATGGGTGATGAACTCAAAGTATTCCAATATACCTTTACTGAAGGTAAATCAACAAAGCAACCTGTAAAGAGGTTACCAAACATGTTCATATCTTATCGTAACGATATGATGACGAAGAAGCCTCATAATATGCCAATGACCGAATACAGTAGATTGGTATCCAAATGGTGGAAGGAACTATCGGAATCCAAAAAATCAGAATTGCAAATGCGCTATCACATAGATAGAGATCGAAAACTGTACCTTCCCTCTATAAAAGATGAGAAACCTTTAAAGAAATGTTTTAATAACAACGAAGACGTCTTAAATAAGTAATCCTTGTAGTTAGAAAATTATTCCCTCCTAAAATTTATATCAATCGCTTTTTCGATGCAAATTTTTTTTCGTTTACGTTCATTCACCGTAAATACCGTAAATCACCTTTTTTTCTTTTGATAGGCAAAATTTACTCGTTAATTTTCCCTTTTTTTTATTCTTATTCTGATTATTATGATTATGTTTATAACGATAACTGAAAAAAAAAATCTAAATTTAGTGTGTTTCATGATTTTACCAATTACGAAAATCGAAACGTTCGCTTTCGCAAACGTTTTACAAAGGTTTTTATCCTTTATGATTAAGTTTACGCATAAACATTATTAGTTGTATTAATCTAATGTTTCAAATTTCTATTGTATAAACATTCACCAATGTTATGTAAAACCAATAAAAAATATGTTAACAAAGATATGTTAAATTTAGTTCATAGAGCAAGTTCTAGAGATTCTAATTTATAATCCTGAACTTTATAGTTCGGGATAAGAACGTACATTACCAAGTTCTTGAAAATGTTCATGATTCAAAAAATTTATAAACATATTGGCATTATCTTTAACAAGTATGCATGTTTTAAACTATCATTTTAATTTATCAAGTTATTTATTATCAAAAGCACGTAGTTAATGAACGCTTTCTCAGGCTCACGTTTGTTACAAAAATATGAAACATCATAAAACTGCTTTTAATAAAATTTTACTAGTTATTCCCAGACACATTTTATTCTTATTAATATATAAAGTAATTTGGTGATTTAGATATATATATATAACGATAATATTCCTAATAATTATTTATGTATATTTTATTTCAAGTATTTCAACTCGTCTAAAAGTGAATCTGCAAATTTATATATAATTTTCAAACCCAACTGATAACTATGACCTAATTAAAGGTGAACATAACGTTTTCTCCTTGGGTAGATTTTGAATGCCAAATTATTGCTTGGTTTATGTCTTGATTTACACCTTTACCATAATAGTAACATTCCGTGACATGATGATATGCCTCAGCATATCCTCCTTCAGCAGATTTCAAGTACCATCTAAATGAAGAATTTTCATTTTTATCTACTCCCATTCCGGTTTGGTAGCAATTTCCCAAAGAACATTGCGCACCATGGATTCCTTGCTTTGCAGCAAGAAGATACCATTTAAATGCCTTCTTTTCATCTTTATTAAAATGAAAGTATAATCCCATTCTATATTGTGCATTTGCATTTCCACTGTTTGCAGATTTAAAATACCATTCCATCGCTTTTTCTTTGTTTTTAGGAGTTTCCGTACCGGTTTCGTAATATTGTCCTAACATCCATTGAGCATCTACATGTCCACATTCTGCAGAATGCATGTACCATTGAAAAGCTAATCTATTATTTTTTTCCGTTCCTATGCCCAATCGAAAGCATTGGGCTAAGTGATATGTTGCGTTGATATTTGCTCCTATAGCAGAAGCACACAACCATTTAAATACGTCTTTTTCGGTTATCTCGGTACTTGTTCCGATACCATGATTATTTTGTGCAGCAGACATTTTTTTTATGTGTATATGTTTTTTTAGGAAAATAAAGGGGTTTAAAATTGTGTAGAAGGTTTATTTTTAAGGTATGGGTCAAAGAATTTTTCGCGTCTTTATAAGTTTATTTCGCATATCAATTTAGTTACAAAAATTGATGAATTGCATATTAATAAAAAAAAATCGTTTTACATTTGTTTCATAATTTTATTGCAATTTAACAGTCGACCAATTTTTACTAAAAATAGGTGTATTGAATACAAAGAATAGAACAACGAGAATAGAATTTGAGTAAACTTCTTAACCACAATAAATCAGAAAAACAATACATCTTATGAACGACATTATTACAATAGTCTTGTTTTAGTAATCAAATATAAATTCATGGGATTGCCTGCGGATAACAATTTAGAGAATTTTGAGGAGTGTAAAAAAAAAAAATGGAAGGCATGAATTGTGTGATGATAAAATAAATTTGATTAAATTAAAATATGGTTAAACATGAGAAAAAAAGATTGTTATCAATCATGTCCATAGGTACATAATCGTGGTCATTGAATAAGAACCTTTTTATTATATTTCATAAAAGAAAAAATATATTAGTGTAACAAACTCTGATTTACGTAGGTCGTGATTAATCGATAGACTAAAAAAAATTCTTTGATGAGAACAAAGTTCCAGCGTACAACTGGTTTGTTTTTAGAACTTTATACTAATGAGTTTTATAAATTTGGATAAATACGAAACATTAAAGGAAGTTTCTTTATTCTTATCATTTGATATGCTTGTGAAATTTTTTTTCAAATCTTGAAAACTTGATTCTTTTATTTGGGTTCAAGATTTCACTGATTAGCGGTTAAACGGTATTTTCATTCCGATCATGCATATATGCTTTATTTTATTTTATTTGTTTGGGGTTTTATTATACGGTACATATCTTCTTAGAAGAGGAAATTTATTAAGGAAATCCTTAAACTAAATTAATTTACTTGATAATAAAAACTCTCAAACAACGAATATTTTGTTTTCCAGAGATTAATGTTTACCTTGTGTATCTATGTGATATTTAAGCATGCCATATATTTTTATATTAATGGATTAGTCATTCGTTATGTTAAAATAAAATATTTAATCTGTTAAGCATTTTTAAAATGGTTATCAGTCTTATCGCAAATAATGGATTGTGAAATCCCATCTTACACATGAAAATGATTTCTAAAATCAAAAATTATTATCAATTAATTTTTCATCCTTTGAATTGTTATGGATTCGTTCTAATCTTGCAGAACATCCGAATTTAGAATGGACAATAAAATTATC